CTGAAACCAGAGCAGGGGGTCAATCTGCGCTGACCCCATGTCTCCCACACAGGTCTGCCTCTGCTTCCAAAGCTGCAGCTGGACCCTACAGAAGGGCTTTGTGGCCATCTTGAGGTATTTGTTTCAGGTTAATTTTTCATCTGGAGTCAGAGGAAATATCTGAAACCCGGTGAGGCAGATTGCAGGCAGAAAGCCAGGCTGCAAAGGGAAGTGTGTCCAGAGGAATGTCCACCTGTAACCCTGGACTATGGAAATCCAAAAACCTCATTATCTTCCCAGTTACTGAAGAAAGGGCAGGGAGGCTCCCCTCCCCAGGAGAGGCACTGCAAATCTATAGTGCAGGGCCTGACCCTGGACAAGCCTTAGGTCCGAGCTACATTGTTATTGTAGGAGAGAAACTTCCTTTGACTGATCACAGGAGTTAACTCTGTTTTGGTTATTGCACTGGTCTTCAGGGTGCGACCATGCATTTTATTTGAAGCTACAACATTGTTGTATTTATAAAATACGTCTTGTCTTAATAATTTATTCTTTAAAAGGGTGTTCTGCAGATTACTAGCTCCTAAGATGCTAGTAGCTATTGTATATAAAAAAAAATGTTTTGTGTCTCAATATACCTAGGAAATGTGGACTGCACAAATTTCAAATAACTTGATAATTTTAGCAGCTTCATACTATAAGCATGTGATGCCAATCTCCAAGAAAGTCGTCTTTGTTTTGTTTCCAGTCTTTTGTTCTGTTTCTCAACCTTGACTATAAAATCATTCCTAGTAGGAACAAATTTAGGAAATTCTGATTTAAACATCATAGAATATTAAACCTGAGTGAGAATTTTGGAATAATCTGGTGGGGTGTTTTTCCATGCTGCTGCTCATTAGAATTGTGAGCCCGAAGGGGGAAGTTCCTGGCATTTTCCCTGAAGGTGCAATTCAGGAGCCCTACGTGGGACATGGCTGAACTTTTAAAACACTTTCCAGCAATTCGGAAATATACTGCATTGTCTGGGAGTCACCACTGAAGCTACTAATTTTTTTTCATGTACAAAGTAAACAGATTCTCCCTTGAAAACTACAGTGGCCCTCTCGTATCTAACTTCAGTTCTGTTGTAGAAGGGCTTAGAGAAGTTTATCCCCACCCTATCTTCCTGTGATACAAGGCACATCCATAACTGAATATCTGTGATGTAGCATGTGAAGATCGGATCTAGCAGATGCACAGCCAAAGGAATGCCATACAGCCTGGGTTCCTGCCGCCACAGAATCACTCACTGGTGGTTAGATCTAGGACATTTCCTTACTCTCTTCAGGCCTTGCTCAGGCCAAACGAGAAGTTAGAATGAAATATTGTCTTAGGTCAGTAACATCTGAGGACAATTTTGCTCTGATTTCAATAGAAAAAATGTACTAGGGCATTATTGCATTTTACTGTAAATTTAAATTCAAGTATTTATGTATTGCAGATAAAGTCTGCCCAAACTTCACAGATGAGAGTGAAGTGCTGACAGGCATTTCTTAGAGCAAAAGGGGAGGATCCTCACAGCTGACCCTTCTCCGTGGGTACCACCACTAGAGAGTGACTTGTGCCTGCCACTGGCCTGAGAATCACAAGTGACCAAAGTGAGACTTGTCATAGGCAGTTTTTCTAAACTGTTGCTTCGTCCCTGAGCCTTGCTGGGGTCGGCTCTTTTAGGTAGGGCATAGTTGAACCAGCTCTGGTTACAGGTGCAGAATCCTGGAAAAAACAAAGTTCAGAAAGAAGGTGGCCTACCTCAGTCACAGCAAGGCTGCTTCACGCAGGTTCACTGCAAAGTGGGCTGGTTCCTGGCTGCTCAGCAGTTCTCCTCCAATGACCACTGCTGACCACAGTGCCTGCCTGCCATTCCTATGAGAAGGTGAGTGCCGAGTCCTTCCTCCCTCCCTTCTCCCTGAAATTGTAAACCACCTCTTCAGAAGTCTGAGCAGCTCCAGAAGCTTACTTTGGGACTCAGGTCACCTCTGCGATGATAATTAGAGAAGGACCTATAATGTGTGAGGGCAACCAGAAGGTATTCAATCTTCAGGACACTCTTGGAATTGCAGGATTTTTGTAGACCAAAAAGCCCCCCCCCAAAAAAATCCATTTTCTATGGATTCTTGCGAAACCAAGTTTAAATAGATTTTAAAGCTAAGCAGACACCTAACGGGTTAGAGAAGCACAGTATTTGAAAATTTGATATTTAATTTATATTTGCTATTTATATGTCAAAATATAATCTATTTTGCATGTTATATTTATAAATTTTATGCACATAAAATTAAATTCTATTATACATAAAGTATATGCAAATCAAAACAAAGGATTAGAGGAGAGAGGAGCCTGAAATGAGCAGTTGCCCACCAGTCTGGCTTTCTGGTGTGCCCCTCTGGAACTCTGCCCCAGCTCCAAACTAGGGACCCCGGAGCCCTGAGGGGCTGAGCAGGCCAAGCCCACGCCCCGGCTAGGCCCAGGGTGTGCACTGTCCTCCGCCTCCTCGGGCTGCCGGACTTCCAAGTCAGAGTGCGATCTGTGCTTCCCCTGAAATCCCCGAGTGTTGGATCACATCACAACTCTGGGAGGGGCCATGTTTCCATCTGGGATCCTAGCTCTGAATATAGTCCTAGGCCCCTCCCAGATTCAATACATATTTGTAGATAGAAATCTGAGTCAGTATGCCAACGCAGGGGCCCTTCACTGAGAGGTAAATCACGGAGCGTCTTCTATGGGCTTGGCACACGCCCAGGTCCGGTGTGAATGGCAGTGCCCGGGCCATCCTGGAGCGTGCATCCCCCTAAGTGAGAAACAACATGCGCCTCTGTGACTAAGGAAGCAATTCAGCCTCCCACCACAGGCCATGCAGAAAGCCCCGTAAGTGACGGGTTCAAGGGTGCTGGAGAGGACCTGGCCAACGTCCTGATTGGACACCTGGAGGCGGGGCCACTGGGGTGGGGCAGGGCCAGCATCCTGACCATCAGGTGAAGGCCCTCTAGGGAAGGGTTATCCAAGCACAGCAAACAGACCACAGGGGTAGAGGAGGCTCCGATGCTTCCAACGTGAAATGGGGAGGTCTAGCCGGCTTTGTGGTCAACTACAGCAAGGGATGCTGGCAGCCACAACTTCATAAAGGGTTGGTGAGTCATGAAGAAGAACGTGGACCCGACTGTGACCTCCTGCACTGCTGGATGTTTTAAAGGAAGAGAATCACGTGCCCCGACGTGGGGCAACCTTATACTTCAAGGTCAGGCTGAAGAACCACGCAGGCATCTCCTTCCCCACAAAGGGAGGAGGCAGGCCTGTTTCTCCTGCAGGTAAGACCACAGATGTGTGTCAAACTGGGAATTAATAATGTCCCCACTGGGTCCTGGCGCCCCAGGACCTCTGGGATGGAGTCAGCGAGAAGGTCTACGGATCCCTGCCCTTATACCTGAGGCAGCCCCGATGGTCGCTTGAGCTCTGTACTGGGGCGTTGGCAGAACCTGGACTGAGATTTCCATTATCACAACCCTGAAAGGGCTATAATGCCAGAGCTCCTGAAGCATTTCATGACCTACACCATGCTGTCCCAAACATGGGGACATTAACATGAGAGAGGATATGATCGTATGAGCTTCAATTTAGAAATGGACATGGCTACCAAGAACATGGCTACTGGTTTTATCTTAGCAATCTTGAGTTCCTAATTTTTAAAATCATGAGTTAAAAGGAAACATTAGAAAATGGCTGTCTATTTCTATGTGTATAGCTGGATCATAATAGTTCCACTCAAAGGAATAGTCGCTTCCCTGGATAGCTATGATTTTTTTTTTTTTTACGAGTAATAATGATCAACTCATTAGCTGTGGTTGCCTTAAAGCATTTTGATAAGATTCATATATAGACTACTATTATTTAATGGATATTTACTCTAAAGAGCTAGTCACTCATGTATTCAGACTACAATAACCCTTCTGCTCAATCTCCCTTAAATGGTTATTGTATTATTTTCAAATGCATTGCTGCAATAGAGTAGCACAAAGGCAATTCCACAGAGTCACAAAGCAAAGTTGAGTGTTAACAACTGAGTCTTTTATGTACTGATTTAATACACAGTGACTCTAAAGTTGAGAGTCTAAACCAAATGGGGATTTCCTGAGTGGCAAGGTAAGTGGTGGTAGATTCGTTGTGCTGTGAAAAAGTAAAAATGAGCAAAATGGTGACACTATGTATCCATGAGAACATGGCCCTGCCCCAGCATTTCCTTTGGCCTCAACAGAACCACTCAGTCCCTAGAATGCAAATTAGCACCTCCCAAAAGGTTAAGGACAGAACCCAGAGAGGGGGTCAAGAGGAGGATGTCGCCAGGGAGGGAAGAAGACCATAGTGGCCCATTGTCTGATCAGCTGGTCTGAATAAAGGGGTCAGTCAGTGCTAGGAGGAGATGTCAGCATGGTGGGCAGAGACAGTCCTGAGAGGTGTCTTTCCACTTTCAGATCTGTCTGTTTTAGGGGAACAAGAGTAGTGAGGCAGTCCAGAGGCTGGGCCAGAGCCGGGGGGAGGTAAGTGTCCCTTGCAGGACCACAGAGCAGGCACCTGGAGCCCACTCTCACAGAATTTTAACAAGCAAGACAAGCCTGATGCCGTCGGTTATCACTAGGAAGCAGAGAGCAAAGTCCCGAGGTATGCATCCCTGAATTTACTTTAAACAGGCCGAGAAGGGAGGCCAAGGTGGTGCACACCTCACAGATTGAAGAACACCCCACTCAGAACAATCTGTTGTGGTTAGATGTGAGGTGTTACCCCAGAAGCTCATCTGTGAGGCAGTGCAGGAAAGTTCAGAGGTGAAATGACTGGTTAGGAGAGCCTTAACCTGCTTTGTGCGTTAACCCCTGATGGGATTAACTGGGTGATGACTATGGCAGGTGCTATGGCTGGTGGAGGAGGTGGGTCCCTGGGGGCGTGACTTTGGCATTTATATTTTCTCCTTGTTGAGGGGAGCGCCCCCCCCCCTCGTTCTCTGCTTCATTGTGCCATGTCCCCAGGCTTTCCTCTGCCACACTCTTCCAGTGTGGTGCTGGTGTTTGCTAATAACAGGCACAAAATACGGTTCCAGAGTTTCTAGCAGCCAACACCTCCAGCCCTGAGAATGGAGCCAGCCATCTGGAGACCTCTGAAACCGTAAGCCCTGAATAAACTTTTCTTCCTTAAAATTGTTCTTGTCGGGTCTTTTGGTCACAACAGTGAAAAAGCTGATAAAACATAATCTATCAATGAAAGGAACTGAAATGACTTGTTCTGTCTCTTCCTCGTGTGAAAAAATGTCCGTATCAAAGGCCTCCTTCGTTTTCTCCAGTGTCTGCTCAACTCTGATTCTTTCATTGGTTTGAAAGCCTATTGAGGTAGAATATGCAAAGAGAGG